TGTTGTAAGGAGGGAAAGGTCCTTGGAGAGGGACATCATACTTGGGAGGGTGGAGGAATGGCGCAGAAGGGGAAGACTGTCTATGAGGTGGATTGAATCAGTGACTGGGGTAATCGGGATGGGTGTGTCAGAGACAGTGTTTGGTACAGGATAGAGCAGGGTTTAGGGCTGCTGTATATAGGGTTGTTATGAGTCGCAAGCGAGTTGATGGTACATAACAACAACAAAGTTAAGTGTTATAAATGACAGCGGGCAGTATACTATCTAGATTTGACAATCCTGCAAACTACAATTGTTTCCATATTGGGGACTAGGTGATTTGCCCACTGTACTGCCTCCTCTTTCTTCCAATGTTAAACTATGTTTCCCAGCCACTTTTGTCATTGAGTGCAATGGAGTGAGTGAATATGGTTAGCAGTAGTTATAAGGTATACAACCTCCAGGCCTAGTCTAATACCCCACACCACTTTTCTTAACTTGAAAGGAAATAAGAGAGCTGGTGAGAATGTGGAGTGATTAAGAGTTAATAAAGGTATTGACTGTATAGCTCCAAAATTGCTCCGAATGACTGAAAGAGGCAGAGACCATGATCCTCCATTCTGTTAACCTACATTAAACAAGATTGTGAATGATAAAGAAACTTTTCCTTAATTAAGCCAAATAAAATGTAGGCTTATCATATGCTAACTTTTTGTATGTATTTACTATCCATGACTAAACCGTTTTTGTTTTCGTTTACAGGCCTAATAATCAGTTCTACTTATTTATTATTTAGTAAAAGTTCTCTTTCTGCAATGTCTTCCCTTAGTTTCAATAAGCACATGTAAATATAGTTAGTGATGTTTTTGAAAGACGTCTTGGTGGAACAATTGCTAAGGAGCTTTTGTCTGCTCACTGAAAGGGTAATGGTTCTGCAGGATAAAGATTTGGCAGTCGGCTTCCATTAGGATTTACAGGCTTGGAAACTGATTGATGCAATTCTACTCTGTCCTATAAGGGTGACTGTGAGTGAAAATGAACTTGACAGCAATGAACTAATGTACTGAAAATAAGTT